CAGGAGAACAGTGAGGCAGTTAAAGAGCTGCAGGCAGATGGCAAAATATATGAGCTAATATCACCAATGTAATTGCTTGACAAGATCTGAGCAGAGTTACACAATTTAAGGAGGAACCGAGAGGAAAGTCTGGCTTTTTAAGCATTTCTGGGAGGGAGAGCGGCTGCTTTATTTTCTCTTGCAAGGCTGGAGTCACTGGCCCGTGACCTTCCATGGAGGGAAGCTGGCCTCTGACGGAAAGCAAGCCGCCCTTGGGTTTTGGGTCTCTTTCTTTCACCAGTGCTTTCACCAGTGCTCGTGCCAGCGCCGGCTTGCCGTGGGGCCGGTGGTTCAGAGGCGCTGATCCCGGAACGGCCCCTCCGAGCTGACTGGCCTCCCTCTCTCATTTCTGGTTCTTCTGGGTCTGGCAGGCTGTTCACTGCCTGACTGCCTGGTGAGTGCGCCCCTGAGCTGTTTTCTCATCTAACTTCTACATCCTCTTTCTTTCTCTCCCTCTCTATGGCGCTTTCCCCAGTGGCCAGGAAAAGTCTCTGGGAAGTCAAAACTGGGGGACCCTGGCTGTCTGGGAGACCAGGCTATGTCCCGCCAACCATCGGACCCTCAGGTTCCCCAGCAGTTGATGAGGTGAGCCACGTGGCCATCCTTGGCACTCGGTCCCCTGCCATCGGCCTCACCCCAGTGGCAGCCTTGGGGGTGCCCTGTTCAACACCAGCTTCCGGACAGAGAGCCTGGCCTCTCAGTTCCAGGGCCTTCAGCTCTGCTCTGTGTCTCCTCTGCCACCGTCATATCTCGGAACGCAGCAGCTGCAGTTGTTTGTCCCCAACACATCTGCCCGCCTGGGTGTGGCTCCAGACCCAGGGCAGGGCGCATCAGTGAGCGCAGCACAAAGATTCCGCGGTGTGGAGCTTGGACAGAGCGCTGGCTGGTGGGGCTGGAGGGCTGCAGTTTTAAACAGCATTACCAGGAAAGGTGGCCTCCTGGATGTGACCTCAGAGCTGAGGCTTGAAGGAGGCGAGGGAGGGTCCTACGTGGACACCTGGGGTGAAGGGTTACGGGTAGACTCCACAGCTCCCGGTGTCTTCTGCCTCCATGCTCACCTCTTGGCCCAATCTTCCCCCCCCTAAAATGTGGCTCTCCCCAGATGTGACCCTTGACTCCCTCCAGAACAGAGGTCACAGCTGATGGCCCATTGGCTGAATCTTCCCTGGACACATTTCTCTGAATATATATTTAGAGTTGACGTGAACGATTAGGCCAATTTTATATAAAAATGCGGACTTCTGGGCAATGCTGGGCTGGAAGAAGATGCCAGGAGGAACCCTGGGGACGGGTCTTCAGCTCCCTGACACTTCTGGCCCCCAGCACTCCCAGGAGTTTGCACGTCTGCATATGGCCAGCTGGCTGGGGGTGGCAAGGCGCCCAGACTTCTGCTCTCGTGATTTGGGCCATGTTGGAGGTGCCGTCTGTTCTTGCCGAGGGGAAGGCTGTCTCCCCACATCTCCATACCACGTCTCCCCCCCGGCTGCAGTGGCCTGTTTCTCACTGCCTAGCTCCCAGCATCCTCCTGGGTCCCTCTGGGTTCCCCTTTCCTGCTGAGCGTGCCTAGGCATTTAGTAGGCACTTGCTGAATACCTGATTAACTGTTGCCATGTGAGGGAGAGGGACTTAAGTGTTGCTGGTTCACCCCACGGCTTCTGAGGGACCTGCCTGGGATTGACGGCTGAAACACAACCCCAACTCAGTTGCGGTGGAAAGGCCTGACCACACCCTGGGCCCCCGACTCCAGTTCAGGTGGGAGAATGTCCACTTTGGCCTAAGAGACGTGGAGGAAAAGATGGTCTGTACCATCCCAGTGCTCACGTCTGACCTCTCCATCGCGTGGGAGGTTCTCCTCCCCATTTCTGGGAGGAGCATGTATCTGGAAAGACTACACAGGCTCCGGAGTCGGAAAGTCTTGGGTCCTGACCCTGCCTTTGCGCGTTATCAGCTGTGTGCTTGGGGGCCTGACCTCGTGTCCCTGGTGGGCTTGGGTATGAGGTGCCTGGCATGCAGTAACCTGCGATAAATGGTGGAGCGCTTCCTTTGCTCTCGCTTGCACAGTGGATAAAAGGAGAGGGTCGAAGGCTTGCGGAACGGAGGGCATTTGGGGCCGGGCCACGTCACCTTGTTTCCCTCTCTGTGACGGCATGTGCCGGCGTCCCTCCTTCTGAAAGCTCGTTCCCAGGTTCCTAGCATGACACGGCCAACCCCACACAGGCACCACGTCCTCTGGTGACTTCTAATGGCAATCAACTCTCCGTTCGAAGGTCTTCCCAGGCCAGCCTGGCCTTTTCGGCCCCCCAAAATGACCATGCACACAGCGACAGCCAGAGCTTCCCAGAGGGGCCATAGCAGACAGCTGCAAGGTCACTGTCCAATGTGGCACACGAGCGAAATGCACAATGGCGACGGGAGGACCAACTTGCCCAGGACAGAAGAATACTCCAAGGTACAGACAGCACCCTCAGAGAGGAGGTTGACCTGGTAGTAGAAGCCGTGGTGGTAGAAGCCATGGCTCAACCATGGTGACAGTAGTTCTGGAAAGTGCTCAGCCAAAAAAAACCGATCTCAAAAGATTACCTGCCGTACAACACTATCATAGGATGTTCTTGAAGTGACCAAGTTACGGGATGAAAGTAGATGAATGGTTGCCAGGGGGCAGGGAGGGGTGTCGGGAGGGAGGTAGATGTGGTTATAAAAGTGGTTCTGAAAGTGAACTCATCTTCCTTGGGCTGCTGGGGGTGTGAACCTATACCCGTGATCAAGTTGCAGAGAACGGAACAAACATACACACAACAGTATACAAGCAAAAAACTAAAAATAAAAAGGCGTGGAGTTAACCAAGATCCAAGACCTATCCCTGGTATGTTGAACAGCGCTTTGGAAGGGGGTAGGAGGTTGCCACGTGTAGTTAGATGCTGCCATGAGTACAGTGCCCAGGAGTGTACGCCCTCGTCCCTGCGAGCTGTGACTCTGTTCACTTCACTCCATAAAAGGAGCTTTTGCAGATGTGACTGAGTCAAGGATTTTGAGATGGGGTGGAGACCCGGGGTTCCCTGGGTGGGCCCATGTCGTCCCAGGGTCCTTAGCAGAGGGAGGCTGAAGGGCTGGAGTGAGAAAAGGCAGAGACCGGAAGACACTGTGCCGTGGGCACAGGAGACAGAGGAAGACACCTGGAGTGCAGGACCGCGGAGAGCCCCCAGGGACGGGGAGACCAGGCTGTGCATCACCCCAGAGCTTCCCGGGGGAGGGCAGCTCTGCCCACAGTGGACTTTAACCCCGTGAGACTGATTTTGGACTTCTGGTCTAAGGAACTGTAAGAGCACATATCTGTATTGTTTTCACCCACTAAGCCTGTGCTTATTTGTTACAGCAGCAATAGGAAACTAAGACAATACAGTGAGGGACATGTTTTAAAAAGACAGTAAGCTTCAATTATTTGCTAAAGTCCACCCACGTGGAACACTGCCACCCCTGGTGAGACGGGGTGTCTGAGGTGTCAGTGAGCACAGGAAGCTATTTGTCTGAGCAGCTGAGACCTGTTCAAAGCCACCTATAGTCCTGAAAATGCTGCCACTCCCTGTCCCCAAGCTTTTACAGCATCCGCCGTTGTTACCAGGGCCGGCACGGCTCATAACTGCAGCCTGTTGAATGCTCCTCGGCCAGTGGATGGCTTCGTAAGAAACACCACATTGGTGGGGGCGGGAGGGTGTGTCTACTGTAGGAGCTCACTGTTCATGCTTGAAAACAGGACGGGTTAAGTCCATATTATGCCTGGAGATACCAATGTATGAGTTCTTTTGGGGGGAAACCAATAAATTACTTATCAAGATAAGACAATACCTTTGGTCACATTAAGTTTCTAAGTAAATGGTCTGTTTCCACATGGCCTAGGAATATAACAGACAAAAAGCTCTTAACAAAGGAATATAAATTAGTTTCCCGTTTGGAACAGTGGCTACTACTGAGGGTTTCCTGGGTGCCAAACATTGTAGTAGGCACTTGTTCCTCCCAGCAACTCCACTCGGCGCGCACTAGGACTCTGACTGGCTGCTGCAGGAGCCCTGCTGCAGGGTCCAGAGAGGGTGAGCAGCTCACCTGAGTCCCCCCTGCCTGCCAGTCACAGTCAGGACAGAAGCTCACGGTGATCTGAGTCCTAAGCTTGTGTTTTTTCCAAGGTCCTGCCTGCCTCCAAGAGGGGACAATATGCTAAGCAAATACCATAAAAGCTGCCGACAGCTAACACAAGAGCTCGGTAAAGGGCCGAAGGCCTAACTTTGAATCTATGACACTGGTGCTGAGCTGGGAAAGACTGTCTCATCTGCAGGGCTGTGTGGGGACAGAGCTGGCCATGCAGTGACCTGGGGTAGGGCCCAATCTGTCAGTGGCACGGAGGAAGCTTCATCAAATAGGAAGCGAGTCATTCAAGGAGCATTGTAACGAAGGCCAAGCAATATGGCCTCGCGGTCAGCACACAGATCTCAGAACCACTTTGCTGGATAACCACCTGGATACGTTCTTCCCAGACAGACACTGTGGTCAAGGCCAACGCATCATTTAGAGCACTAATTGCTCTGATTTTGCTAACAAGTCATCACTGGGACCAGCTTCTGACCCAGTTTTCCCCTGAAGAACATTTTCACAAGCAAGACCCCCACTTCCCCGCCCAGCGACTTTCCTTGAGTTGCTCTGACCATGACCGCATGGGAGACACACTGTTCCAGGCAGCCAGCTGACACGTGCACACCAGGAAAACGGAAGTTCCAAAATCCGTGACATACTATGTGTCACCAGTGGTATGTTTTTCCCCCCCACCCTGTTCTGCTCTGTTTAGTCTAGTTTGGTCCATTCTGATGTCACGGCCCCACCCAGTGACTTGCCAATGACTCCCCACCCCATGAGGGAGCTGTGGTGGCAGTTTGAAGCCGCTGGTCTGGCAAACAAGGAGAATGGGGGCCTACCTCTGGGGCGATGTAGTCTGGGGTCCCGCAGAAGGTTCTGGTCGTGACCCCCTCCATCATGTGCTCCTTGCACATCCCGAAGTCAGCAATCTTGATGTGCCCTTCGGAGTCCAGCATGACGTTGTCTAACTTCAGGTCCCTGCAAGGAGGTGGCACAGCATCAGGCCCCTCCCACAGCGGGGCGTGGCCTGCTCCGGAAAGGGCGGGGCGGGGAGACTTGGGATAGCTGACCAGCTGCCGTCTCCTTGGCAACTGAACTACAAGTCCCAGGGGAGTCGGGACCAGGAATTATTATTACTAATCTCTAGAGCCTGATGTGGTGCTTGGGAGTACGGGGGTACTTCCCAGATGCGTGCTGAAGGGAAGACTAAATGGCTGAACCAGCGATTCCCAGCCACGGCTGCACAAGGGGATCAGCAGAGATTCCGGTTCAGCAGGTCCGGGCCACAAACGTGTCCCTTCTCTTCCGCCCAGTGCCTTACGTCCGTTTTGTCACTTTCCACTTAGTACTGGAAGACGTTCCTCTTTCTGTGGTACCAGACTTTCACTAGGGCTGACGACCAGAAGACTATAACTGAGGTTTCCCCTTGCCTCTCTCCCCCCAGTTCCCTGTGCGCTTATCTATCTGGGCGTCTCTCAGAAATGCAGGCTCGGTCCTTGCCGCCCGAACTCCCTCCCAAGTAAAAGGCACAGGGAGAGCTGTCGGTGGAGAGAAAGGCGTGTTTCCTCGTGGGAACCGGAAAGGAGAGGACTCTTTGGAGGCCCAGGGATCAGAAGGTGGTTCTGACCTCCCCGAGGGTCCCAGCAGGTCTCTGCTGCCTTGGGGGTTTATCGACTTCACACCTGGCATCCCCATCACAGAATCACATGCCCACGGAGACCCAGGGGCCCAGCCACACGCTCCACCGCACGGGCGGTGGGAGAGCGTCGCCACGTACCTATAAATGATTCCTTTTTTATGAAGAAAGAACAATCCAATGGAAATCTCTGCTGCGTAGAATCTGCAAGAGGAAAAAGGTCGTCAGACCTCATCGGACTCCTGGACACTTTATAACCCCCCTCCCCTGCTCTCTCCCACCCACCGCAGTTCAGGTGTCAAAGAGGTAAAACAGTGCAAGACCTGGGACCCTCAGGGGTCAGCGTCACCCCTCACTTGTTCTTCCAACCCTTCGCCCTTCCCTCTGCCATTTTCATTCTGCCAATTTCGCAACTTTTACAAACGATACAGCTCATAAAATCAATGGGATGAGTTTATTTCCTGTCCAGAAACAAGCACTTGTTGTCTGGGGCAGGTGGACAGGTAACTTTCTGCTTAAGAGAAATTCCCAATACCATCTTTTAAAGAGCAGATATTAGATGCCTTCCTGTCAGGACTACGGCAGAATGCATTTCCATCCGCCTACTCACGAGCAGAGTGCATCGGTGTCTGCACGCACAACTGTTCCCTGGAAGGCAGAGCACTGTGTGCAGTGAGCTCTTCAGCTGCATTCCTCAACCCTCCCCCCACACTGACCCCAAGCGCCAGGATAAACGGGACACTGTGATTCATACCCGAGTTTACCGTTTTGAATAATTCATAATAAAAAGCAGTTACTGCCATGATTTCAAGATTGCTCATAGGTTATTATCTGAAACTCAGTATAACTGCTGAAGGATGTTTCAAAATTTGTATCATAGTTTAGGAGTCTTTGAAGTCTGAGAAGCCGCAAAACTGCCGGTGCGAACATCACACCCAGGAGGCTTGGCTGAAGCTCCCGTTTCTGTCTGCACGGGCAGAGAACCCCCACGGCAAGGACCAGGCTGGGGGGGGGGGGAGCAGACTCCTCCTCTGAGGGCTGGTGGGAGGGGAAGAGGTCGGAGAGGAGAGGAGGTGGGACGATAGGCGACTTTCACATTATTTTTCATGCTTTCCTATCTTTTAAAAAATAATACCTTTCTGGCCACACCAGTACAACGAGAGGGGACTGCCCTCTGTGTGATTTATACCACGAGGAGGCTATTCTGCCACGTGGTCTTTAGCTCCCTGCCCCCAGCTTCATTTGGCCACCCGAGCCTGTTAACGCTCTCTCACTAACAACATGAGAGTGGGGGTGAGGGCAGGCGTTTCTGGAAGCTGGAAAGGAGGAAGACAAAACACCTGCCTTCCCACTTTTTAAACCTGCTACCAAAGACTCCCGTCAGCCTCCGGCCACCCTCCCCAAGACGTGCCCTCTGCACCGCTGTGGTGTCCCCACGGCCGAGACCCAGTCCCTATACACCTGACTCGCCAGCGCCTACGCCACCGCGCATCTCGTGGAGGGAGACGAATTCGGTATCTGTTTAGCTTTGCTCCTGTTGAGTTTCTGGGGCCTCCCTGGCCCCTGAAAATGGGATGACTTTTCAGGTCCCCAGGTCCCCAGAGCCTGGCTCTGTCTCCTGTGTTACTGACTCACATCCCAGGATCTGAGGCACATCCCAGTGACACCTTCAAACAGAGCTCCTGGTTCTCCCCCCGGACTGCCTCCTCCTTGGTGGCTGCCCCAGATGCTCTGTGGGGCGGCACCTGAACATGTTTCTCTCTTCTCACCCCCAGTCTGTGGTTTTCCTCCTCCAGAAGGACCCTCAAAAACACTGATTCCTGTGGCTCCGCTCCTCCCCTCCTTCGATTTTCACCAGCCACACACTCCCCCCCCCCCTGGGCCAGAGGGCTGTGTGACAACTCAGCCCGGTGCTGTCAGGCCCTTGACGCCCCATCCAGCCTTCCTGTATCTCCAGGGGACACCTGCAAGGCTCGGCACCCACACCCCTACTCCACTGCCCTCCACATCTCGCTCCGTCTCCCTGAGCTTCTGAGATGGGCACGCCCTGAGGACAGTCTTCCCTCCCTCCCCCCTTTGGGGCTCTGCATGCTGTCCAGCGTCACCTAGACAGTATTGGCAATGCACCACGTGGTCCAGCGACCTCTCCCACTCCAGGTCGGACAGCGGGCTCCCCAAGGGCCCGGCGCTCACTCCTTTCACATGCAACACAGGAGTGGCCGTCCGAGTCCCTCTCCGGTTCACCAGACGTGGGCTGAACCTCTCCGGAGGCTTACGCACTGAGATGGCCGGGGCTATAAATCCGCGCCCACAGCAAGTCACCGCGCTCCACCCCAAGTGCACGGAGCCCCCAGCGCCGTTCGCCCAGCAGAAGCTCCCCACCGCGACTGCCGTGTCTGAGCGAAGGGACCTGAACGCATACTCACACTGCCTGTGGTTCCTTGAATTTTCCTACTTGCTGAATGTGGTACATGAGGTCCCCGCCGTTGACGTATTCCATGACGAAGTACAGCCGGTCCTGCGGGCCAAGGGGCGACACGTGAGCCGCGCTGCTCCGCGGGCGGGCGGGCGGGGCGGTGCCCCGCGCTCCCCCAGACCCAGGTCTGCCCCTTCTCCCTGCCTCAGAGGGTCTCCCCTGCTCTCCTACACACATAACACATGTCTAAGTCAGGGACGACGTGAAGAATCCGCCTGGGCCAATTATTTAATTTTAACCAGTGTTTCTTGTTCGCGATGTCTAGGAGGCCTGCGAGCATAATGCGGTCACGTGTTTAACCGGATGCTTCTAAAAACAAACCTTGGGCTCAGTGACATTTACTGTGGGGGAGGGGACGGTCGACGGGGAGGCTCATCAAACGTCCTTCTGCATCCAGAACGTGTCCAAATGTGGTTCCTGACGTCCTCTGTCGCTGCTGTGCTGCGTGCTGGCCCCACGAAGGGCACGCGCCATAGAACCAAGTAAATGTGCACATTTATGAGGACATTATGCTGCTCATTATACAGAGCAGAGCGGGCTTAACAGTGAAACAAGTAACGGCACCGCGCACCCAGGTAACAGCCGACCTCTGCTGCTTCCAGAAAACATCACCGTTTCAGGGAGGTCACTGCACCTGCTCAGGGAGGACGGCAACCGTGAGCTGCAGACAACGGGCAGGAGAGGGCTCTGGGGGCTTCGGTGTCTGGCTTTCCTGTTAGCAACTTTAATGTCGTCGTTATTTCTCTGCTTTGCAGCTTTCTGGAGCATGATCAGTGTAACCAGGGTTACTGGATCCGGGCTGGGATTCAAGGCCCGGCTCCCTCTCAGTGCTCTGCTCCTCTGCTTGGCGCTACTTAGGTGCCGCTGGGAGCAGGGAGCGGCGGGCTGCCAGCGCTCGGCCGACACGCAGCGGCCAGCACCTGGCTCTGCAGCCCCACGCTCGGACTGTGGCTGCCCTGCCATTTTGAGAGTCTAAAATGCAAGAGCATTGAGGGGCACCTCCCCACAGATCTTAAAGGGAGAGAGAAAATGCAAAGTCAATTTCTGGCCAACGGGAACATGAAGACAGTAATAACACCAATAGTAACAATTACAGGTGCTGATTCTCGAGTCATATGTTACAAGGACAGCAGCTGAGGGCTGGAAAGTCCATCTCTGGGGATGCCTCACCTCGGCGCCATCTCAGCCTTTACATTTCTTGCAGGCCGAGTGCGAGCAGCAAGCCAGGGCCCTGGCCCCACCACTGGCTGATCAGTGCTCTGGAGCTTTCTGCATCCTCGCACAGCTCTGCCCTATGGCAGGGCTGAGACACTTTCTCCTTAAAGGGCCAGACAGGGTAACATCGTAGGCTTTGTGTGTGTCTTGCAAGTACTCAACTCTGCCTTCGTGGCACAGACGCAGCTGTCAATGACAGGTGAGTGACTTGAGCGCGGCTGTGTTCCGACAGACCTGTTTGGGGCTCTGAGATTTGAATTTCACCTGCTTTTTCCATGCCATAAAATAGGACTTTTAATCATTTTTTAAAGCTTTCTTAGAGCTCATGGGCTGTGCTAAACAGGCCAGATTGCCAACCCCTGCTGTGCGCACTGGGAAAGAGCACGCTCTCCCACCAAATCGAGTCTCCGCGTGTCCCAGTGCTTGGCAGCTGGCGAGCTGGCCTGCAAGCAGCCGGCACCGAGAGTTGTTTTGTTTTATGTCTCTGAGTCCTAGCACATTGCCTGGCACGAGGAAAGCCTCTGATAAAACGTTTGCTGAATTAAATGGAATCAATGCCAAGTCTCTAAGTAGGACACATCCCAGGGAGGGGGTGCTCCAAAAGTACCAGTGGCACTTGACTGAGAGGTTGTTTCCAGTCGCCTCTGGGTGGCAGAGGAGACTCCGGGGGCCGAGCAGTCCCCAGGTGACGCCTTTCTCCAGCCTTTTCCGCAGGAATGAAGCTGATTGGGCACCGAGGGCACCGGGGCTCAGGGAGCCCTGGGGGCGCACCCTGTGCGGAGCCGCAGCTGTGAGCCTGGGTCCTTACCACTGTCTGGAAGCAGGAGTGCAGCTGGGTCAGGAACGGGGGCTTGTCGAGCAGGGCCAGGACTCGCTTTTCCACCATGGTGCACTCCACATCGTCGTCCTGAATCACCACGTCCTTCTTTAGGATCTTGATGGCGTAGAGTTCTTCTGTTCCCTTCCTGTCAGCCAGCATCACCTGAGAACAGATGAAAACGGCTAGGCGTTCGCCGGGAAGCACGTGGTGTAAAAACAGTCATAAAGTTCCACATCATGCGCAGACTGTGAGATACTGCAGGTCACTGCACATCACATTCCTCCTGCACTGTGTAATTTCCAAGGCGGCAGGGTCTGCACGCTGTGCAGGCTGTGGCCACACGGTGGCGCTGTTGTGGCCGCTAATAGGAATATGCAGCATTAGAGCGTTAGGGCTGAATTATGCGTTTTTTCATGGTCATCCTTACTGCAAATAAGTGACTGAGCTTTATAAGCTTCTGACCAGTCAGGTACTACCACAAAGAAACAGGCAGGATAGAAACCAGTTCCTGGATTTATGGTGAGATTTGGGGCCAGGTGCAGACATACAGGCTAAAGAAACCCAGTTCAATCTCTCATGATTATTACATTCGCTTACTACAAGCTAACATTCAATTTTTAGTTGTGAAAATTATGCATGCAGCCAACGCTGCGGAGCACCCATTCTGTCCTCCTGAACACTGACATGGTGGCACAGTGACTCCTCTTGAGCTTTTTGGACACAGTTGTTTTTGAGAAACCGTGCAGAGAGCAGGGAAACCTAAGGGGCAGCTCCGGAAATGTAAGAAAGAATGGGATGGTCCCAGCGTACAGAAATCTGGCCATGTCACGGGCCAGTTGTCCTCCTTACCTTCCCAAAACTTCCCTTCCCCAGCACCATGAGGAAATTGAAGTCAGTGAGTTTCACTCTGTCCAGGTTGTTGGAAAATCTCCTGTCTTCTGAAGGACTGATCACTTTCTTGGCGGGGCCAAGCTTGGCTTTCTGGACAACAAACAGACAGGTGAAAACAGTCAGTCGTTTTTTCCCCGAGGGGAAAGACTGACAGCAAACGCTGTAACTAAGTGGGATGCCAGCGGGGAGGGGGAGGTGGCACGAGGTGAGGAGAGCCCCAGCCGACACCGCTGCTCCAGCTGGGTGGCTGCACCCGTCCCGGGCGGCGTCTGCGGAGCGCCCACACACGGCCCTTACCTAGGAAGAGACAACTCTTCAAACTGCTCATCAAGAATCCAGTCACTGGACCCCTGCAAGGGCAGGCTGAATCTCGTTCTGGGAGGTAAACTTTAACTTCTCGGGGAGCCAGGGCTGGCCAACGGTCAACACCATAAGAGAGAGAAACTACGCGCTGATGTTTCTCTTATTTGTAGATTTTCCAATTTAAGGTTAATCTGTAGGACAGAAACTTGTGCCCCTGCAAAGAGGGAGGACCGTGTCCTCAGGAGAGGAACTGCTTAAGTGGCAACTGTGGGGATGATTTATTGCTACTTTAAAAGGCAAGATAAGAAGAACAGTGTTTTTTTTGTTTTTTTTTTTTGTTTTTTTTTAAGTCATGAGAAGAAATGGTGATACACCGAGAATCTGGTTTCACACCCTGGAAACACACTCTGCCCTTGGAACCTGGAGAGTGCATGGTCAGTGAGGTGAATTACTGAAAGGAGTTCCTATAAATTAGACCCGGCCACACAGAGGCCCGGGAGAGACCCGGCCCTCATCATGGAGGAGTCAGTTTCATGCTCAAGGTGAAAAGCAAGAGGCTCAGCAGAACAGGAGAGGCGACTGGGATTACAGGGGCGCATCTCAACCATCAGCCGAGGAGCCTGTGGAGAATGTGGAGGAGCCCTGAGTGGGTGGAGAAGCCCCCACCAGAGTCTGCATTTTGAAATCTGCCTGACAGTGAGGGAGCCCGTTACTGGATGTGTCAGCGGCTGAAAAGGCCAGGGTCCAGGGGCCTGGCCAAACCTCTGCAGCCACGGCCCTGGGCTGCAGGGCCAGGTCTCGAGCTCTGAACACATTCTCAGTGAGAGGGTGCAGCCCCGGCCCAGCGCAGCAGGTGCGACCGAGCGCAGCTGAGCTTTGGGCAGGTGCCAGGGCATCCCTGGAATCGACGTGGTTACCACGAACACGGCGTAGGAGGCAGAGAAGGTGCCCTCGGGGCCTCATCGACAACCAAAGCACTGGCAACACAGGTTCTTAGCACTGGGGGTGGGGGGGGAGAGCGAGCTGCTTCATGCCGGCTCTGCTGGAGATGCCCCTTCCACAGCGGTTGGCATGGGGTGTGCACTCGACGTTTCAGTTGAACGGATAAAGAAATGAAGCCGTACTGTGCCCCTCGGAGGCTGTGCTATGAGGCGATGCTTTTCTCCGATAAAAACAACTGGCCTGTAGGGGTCAGACCTCACGGCTTGAGCGGGTGCTTGGGTGAAGTGCGCACACCCAGCTAAGCAGAGACTTCAAAACATGGGGGAAGGATGGCCCCAACTTTTCTGCCTCCAGGCTGGAAGTATTAAATACAGTTGGACTGCACCCGTTTGCAGTGCATGGCGGGAACCGTGGGCATTAGGGGCCACTGGGGACACCGATGCTCGGTCAAGGCAGAGCCTGAACTGCAGTGACATGTAAACTGGCCTCCCCCTTGACAGAGGACGGGAGGGATTTTCAGGCAGACTTGCGAGAAAAAAACAAGGACTTGGGGTCCTTCAGATCCTCCCTCGACTTCAGGACCAGCCCCCTGTCCTCCAAAGAGCTGCCCCGGAATGGCTCCGAGTTGAGAAACTTTCTGGTTTCTGGTCTAACTTTAAATGAGTAATCGGGAAATTCAGGTGTGAGGCGAGGATACGGACTAAGCCGCTCTGCTCTTGTGATTTACAAAGAGAAGATGTTATCAGACAGGCACGGAGAGGTTACTTCGGTGCTATTGGGAATCCACAGCAGCATCTGGAAGGACCCAAACACGAGGGGCTCGTGGCCCTGGAGCGCTGGGAGCAGCTGCTGCGTGTCCACCTGCGGAGCTGACCAGGGCCGGGACCGGGTGTCCCTGACCCATCGGCAGTCCTGAACAGTGACGGCGCCCTCAGCACGCCTCCCTGCCACAGGCCGTGTACGAGGCACCGTGGGCTGATGTGTGTGCTGGCCTCCAGAACAGAGACGGGCTTTTTCACCCAGCACCTATTGCCAGCACGGGGGACGGCAACCCAGCAAGAGCTCTGCCGGTTTTGTGCTACGACCGTAGGGTAGTGATAGGTACGGGGTATTCCCCACAGTCAGGCTAAAGGGACGTGAATGCAAAACCACACTTTTGCATTTGGCTACTTTTGGACCCCATTGCAATGTGACCTTAAACTGCAGTGGGGACAACCTGTGAGGCTGGGGAGGAACAGCCACAGAGGAGACCCCTGCCCGCAGGACAGAGGGGCAGCTCGGGGCCCCTGGGCAGCTCCCCTGCCAACAGGAGGGCGGTTCTCCCACAGCCACACCTGGAAAGGCTCCTTGAATCCTTGCGGCAGAACATACCTTCTTCCTGGACTTGCTGATCTGCCCTCTGTCCAGACCGCCTCGCTCATCTTTGTATCTTTAGACCGGGCACACTCACTGAATGTCTCATTCACTCATTCATCCCAAAACCCATGACTCCATTAAACCTAGGACTGGCAGAATTTAAGAGGCCAAATCATAAACAGTACAGTGAACTTGCAGCCAGCACTGGTCAGACAAGCAGTTGCCACTAGGTGGGTCCTTTCAGAGACCACCCTGCATTCGGGTGGTCACACAGTGACCCTTCCCAGGGGGCACGCAAGGCTGGCAGCCGGGCCAGCAAGCCGAAGCCAGGCCCTGGAACGGTTTCTCTGCAGCGACCTCCTCAGAGGAGAAGTCCTGCCCGCCCCCGACCCAGCCGTGATCTCTGACTGGTGGGCGGCGGTGAGCCTCTGAGCCGACCATTTCTTTCTTCGAGCATTTCAACGAGCTGTCTGGCAACTGGTCTCCCTGTGGGCAGACACCTGCTTTTCCTGGCTTGCACACTGCTCACCTAACTCTGGCGGTCATGGATCTAATTCAGACTTCGCTGGGAGTGCAAATAAAATCAGCTAAGGGGAGGAACAGAGCTGAGGCCGACGGCCCAACCACAGAGGTTCTGGTGAACCCGTGCAGGCATTGGAATAAAAATAAGCCCTATGGACACCCTTCACTAAAGCAACACAAACCCTGACCTGCACAACCTGGGGTTCAGACCACGGAGAAGGGAGGGACAGGATGTCTCTGGAAGACAGACAAAGAGCATCGGCTGGGGCTGGGGACCTAAAGGTCACATTAGTCCTTCGGTAACACACCTGCTGATAAATCCCAAACCTTGAGTTCCACCTCTCTCATCCTCGACACTCACAAGAGGAGAGTTGATGGAGCGCCAGGCTCGGGGCAGCAGCCGATGGGGCGGAGATCCCCGCTTGCTGAGCCTCCACCCTCCCTCCCGTGAAGCCCTCCTCCACTCCCCCTACCCCATCACGGGAGCAGGGGGAGCAGGGGGATGCCCTCTTAGCTTTGATGGTGTCCGTTAACTTCTTCAGAGAGAAGCGGCCGGAGCTTGGGGTTTGAGTCCCGACCTTATCACACCCACCGCAGGGGCGGGCGGTGGGGACGGGCCTCACCTCCAGAGCCCACCCTGATTTCAGAGCATCTTCTGTAGCCCCTCCAGGGCGAGGATGTGCAGGGGACGGCCCTGGCTTATTAAAATGGCATGGAAATTTTTAAAGAGAAAGTAAAAATGGTGCTGTAAACTAGAATAAAAATGGCTTCACAGGCTGAAGATTTAGCATGCTTTTTAAAAACTCAGACGAAAACTCAGCATGGCTTTTTATTGGCTGTGACCAAAGAACTCGGACTTTTGGGCTCCGTGAAAGATGGCAGACCAAGCACCAGGCCTGGTCTGGCATCGGCTGCCGACGGGGTTTCCAGGGTGTGCGAACAAGCAGCATTCTCTCCCCCAGCGGAACACTTAATATACTATCAACACGTGTCTCACTGTACACAAGACACGTCCTTGAAAAGCCGCAACACTGTGCGGTCACTGAAGGTGTTCTCTACTTAAAGGCTCCGATGGTGGGGTCTCTGTAAAGCACAGCACGCAGCGAACCCCAGGAGTGCGAGCCCAGATTCTCGGGGGTTGGGGTCGCGGCCTGCAGGTGTGTGTAATTCCCGTGTCTGAGGCGCTGTCTGTGTGAGCTGTGAGAGGCCCCATGTTTGGTGCACTGCTAGGGGGCTTTCCCAATTAAAGCTGAGTGGGGGGTGCACCAGAGGACCACGCTGCGCGGCTATGAGGATCCAACTGCAGGAGATGCTAATGTTCTACGAGGCTGGACCATTTATTTGCAATAGCTGGGATGTGACAATCTGACCCACATGAATGGCAATTCCGAGTGGCTTAACTTAATGCAGTAGATGCTCTGCAAGGTTTAGATTTTGCATAATGATGATATGTTCGCTCCGGGATGCGGGAAGACAGAATAAAGACACGGGGAAAGTGTCAAGTTATAAGTCACCAGTCTCCTAATACAATAGCACCCTGCCTAGCAGCTCTTCTAAGAAGTGCTGACCTACCTTCAGTAGGAACCGAAGCCCAGAGATTCGTCCACAGCGGGAATGCAGAGACCGCTCACCGCGAGTCTCCCCGAGGGCCTGCCCTGGGATCACTGAACCTTCGGGCAGCCCTCGGAAGAATGCTGTACTGTTTAACTCCATCCCACTGCAACTGTGTCCATTCGCACCTATTCTGAGAAAGTTCCTTTAATACTGTATCTCCTTGCCTAACAGAAATTATGGCTCTGAAGAATATATGTATCAAAGATGTTTGCAAATTGTAGAGAGATGACCCTGAAACAATGGGAGCTTCTTTCTACTTCTAAGATTCTGAGGGCAGATGGCCAACAGTGAGCAACTGTTGTGGCAGATGAATACTGTGGATTTCTTCTAAACTTTTTTCCTGTAAGGTGAAA